CATTACTCCAATGTTATCCGATAGCTGAATGAAAATACCAGAGATAATTACCAGCATATTCTACCATACGAGAGAAAGCTTCAAGATTGTGTTCGATTTTGGGGACTGAAAGTTCACCAGTAAAATTCATCATATTGTAGCGTAAAGTATTAAATCTTTAAATTTTGTCAAATCTGACATTTTTGTGTGAATAACCATTCTATTAGATTAGTTAATCGCATCGATCTAAATTCTTAATTTAGATTAAAATTAATGCTCTGTTACCCTATACAACAATAGGCGCTATCACATAGCTAACAAAAGGTTACAACAGAACTGGAATTATATATAAATATAAATAAATACTTTACTAATAGATACGCTCATGTATATAACTTTACTTTGCACGTACAATACAATGTTGACCAAAATATGTGTGTGAAGTACTGCTTCTCCATTGTTTCAATTTTGAAAAAAATATCTAGACGTAGTTAAATTTAAAAGGCATTTAGGTTGGCTATTATCCAGTTTATCTAAAATACAAGTATCATAATATGCATTTGATCTCGCAATATAAGTTATCTACCTACAATCTTTCCCAGAAGTTTTTTCCATGCTCATACAGGAAAATATGAACGTTATGAATGGATGAGTAACAAGCGGGTCAGGTATACTGGCACGAATGGCAGGGGGCTGTCCAAAGGGGTTTATGGGAATGAACATTTACTTCGATCGGCATATGTAGGGGTTGTGAATACTTAAAGGCATGTACATTGTTTATGAAATGAAATAAATGAAAAATATATTTATAATCTAATATTTAAGTTTATTCTTGATTTGACCCAATAAAATTACAAAATCTTGCCCGTTTCGTTTTCCATTCAATTTACCAGAAATATATCCTTTGCGTATGAAACATAATGTGCTTGTCGTTTTTTGACGTAAGCCTTCTGATATGACGCGGTAAAAAAAGTGTTGTTAATCTCATGAAACTATCAAATACAACTAAATATGAATAATAATTTGTTTTTTATTCTATTACGACATTATTCTGAATTATAAAAATACCATATTGAAATAACAATGCATTGGTGAACATGAATACCATTTCGCCGATATCGGTCAGTCAGGTGATTACCATATCAGGAGATGTTTTGCAGTCCTATAAACTAGGTCATTATACCGTCTGTCGTATATCACAATTGAAACAAAATAACATATAATTTATCAAAGGTTGAAGTGATTGAAATATCTACAGTACTGTGTAGACAGGACGATCCCTGTTCATAAGAACACCTGGACCCCTGTCATTGTCATTCTTTTTGTGATAAAAATACACCAATGAACTACACTCACACATATATGCATTCGTAATAATGTAGTAATGTAGTAGTTGTGCACTGGATCTTCATTGTTTTATTTGGTCAATATCTTGTTCGGAGTACCCTGATTACCGATAGTTACATAATTCCTCATTGTCGCGGATAATGGCGACAGATATCAGATTCAGAGCTAAAAAATGGTCTCGATGCTCTCCTCCATACGTCTTTATACAAACGCCCTTTGTTAGGATTAATTTAACTTACTGCACTCTAGAATGTATCATGTTACTGTACTGTTAAATGGTAGGCCGATTTACTATAAGTACAGTAGTGTACGCTATGTATGGTGCGTGCTATAAGGTATTATTTGCTCTTCTTCATCTAGAAGATAATAGTAAATGTATTATGTTTTTTCCTGTTCGTGCCGAGTTAAATCTAAATTCTGCTTAAAGCTGACAGTGCAAGGATTGTGCATTCTATTTTAATTGGTCGTATTTCACTACTATTTCCACTTTTCGTAGATAAATGCTTGTTTTGATGTGTTCCATTTTAATTTTATTCAACTATTCTGATACAAAATGTCGGTAGAAAATCGTGAAAGTGAAAGTGTTAAATATATATATATATATAGTATAGTAGTGTGACCTTGTGCAAATGATAGCCGGTTCGACGGGTAATTCGCTTTTTATACCCAGGGAGACTCATACTCGTTACCAATCAAGGACCAAACTAAAATGTTGGCATTTCCTTAGAAACAATAGTCAGAAGAGACGGGAAAGATCTCAAAACCAGAAAAAAAAATTGATTTGTTTTTTCAATCTCAATTGAAAGCTTTATAACTTGCACCGTCAGCTTTAAGTATACACGTAGCTCTGCCAAAATATTGTTACTAAGTATTCGAAACAGTTTTGTCCAGTATAACTATAGCCTTGATAAATTATTTCTGAAAGGAGAACTTTACGTTTGGTTTTTTAATGAGATACAATACAGAGAGAATATTATCAACAAGAGTGTTACGAGTGAAAAATTCATTGGAGTTTGAACGTAAGATTGTTATAATTTCGCTGTAGACGATTGAGCTATCCGGTCGACGGAACTGTACTAGCTCAAATGTGCTACAGTTATATCCGAACGGAAGTTAAGGGGAGGTTACTCTTTATAGGAAAAATGGTAGTGCAGTGGGACAAATATCCGTAAATGTCACATAACAACAAAGCGTTAAGAATGACTTATAATTCATAACTTGTTATGAATTACTAGTTATATAACCACCAATGAAATTATTTAGATAAAACTGCTCTAAACTTTACATTTTGTTGGCGTCTTAAGAGTTACAATCGTTTCAACGATTCGACTTTCTGGCTACGGAAACAAAAGTTGCCCTAATCCGTATGCACCGATTGTTCATTATTGCATATCCTTATAATTTTCATTTTATTATATCAACGTTACCTGTCCAATGTTTTTGAATCCGCTAAATATTACTTCTTTTGGCACATTGTTTTCCTTGACTTTGACTTTTCCAAAGTATACTGATTGTTGGCTTTCGGAAACTGCGCTCTAGCAGCTTCCAAGTTTTATGAAGACGGATATATGTGATTTGCCTTTAAATATCTTTAAATTGGCCAGCGATCTTAACATAGGTCTAAACGAACAAAGAAAGACAGGGAGGATTAAGTACAGAGAAAGCAATACAAATCCATATTTTAAGGGGTACATTCTTAATCCTCTCAACGATGGAGTTGGTGCCCTAAACTATGATGAATGGTGGTAACACTATAGTAATTTACTTACATATGATTTCAATATATAAGTTTTCACGTTACGTTTTCCTTTTCGCCTTTGGTTAATTTATTTTTTCAATAAGTTTTCCTGATTTCGTATTTAACTTCATTTCGATGAAATTTTGCACACAAATAGAAATCGTCCAGTACTTGTGTTTGTTATATTTACACAATCATTCGTTTTTTAGGGTTTTATCCCGGATAAGGTGATTGGCTAAAACAATATTAAGGTCAAAATCTAACATTGTGTAAATGAGACTGACTTCAAATTTTATGTACAGACTTTATATTATGGTCATATTTGAAAAAATAAATGGCTCTCCTGCTTTTTATCGAAATAGAAGGAGGGAATATCGAAGCGAGGTAAAGTTATTGAAAAAATAAAATAAAAATGAATCCACTGAGAAAAAAGGCAACGAGTATAAATTATAGGGATGAAACACAAAATAATGCAACAAATACATTTTGAGGTTGGTGTATAGATGTGTATATAGGGAAATATAAATGCCTGGTACTAAGCACCAAAGAGTTCAACTGAAGTTATTTATTTTAATTCATCCAAAACATGAAATTGACAGAACAATTTACACTGAAAAGTTCAAATTTGTTTTATTGACATAACAGTACAAAATAATTGGACAAAAGTAGTTAACATGCTATTTTCGTTATTCTTTAATGCTTTTTTGAATTTCGATAGATTAGACCATTGTGGAACTAACAATAAATACATGTAATAAAAAATATCATACGTAATCTGTATTAGTGCAAACTTATCAGAACGAATTTCGCTGAAATGGGATTTCCCCTCAGATATACGTGTTAACAGTTTGTAATATATAACAGAAGTGGTAGGTATTGATTAAAAAGAACAAACAATTTACAGAACATTTAGTCATTGGAATTTATCATTGAAAATACTTGTAGGTTGAAAGTTTGTGACTTGACCTTTGTAGATAAATCAGTTTGCGTGCTAAAAAATAGATGCCTGTTCGACAGTGTTCGAGCAATGATTAAAATGACGAATATTTAAAACAACTAGTCGAGGCGCTTATCTGGTTTTCACAATCGTATAGCTTAACACAGTTCGTATAGAAGACTTTTGCCTTGCCATACAAATCAGAGCATTTTCCAAAATTAGTTCATACAATCGACGACAAAAACACTTTGCAGCGAGTTCCAAAAAAGTGCAGATATGATGCATTCGCAGAGAATAGCCACAATTGTTAACCATTCTATTCTGTGAAAAGACATAGGACTTTCTAGAGTATAATTTAATATTGCTCCTCAATTTGAAAAAGACTTAACGCTTGCTTGCTTTGATTGAGTCTTACTACCAGTAATAATTTAAAAAATAAAATATATAGAGGATATTAAATGGTGTCTTCAGTAATAACAAATATATGTCACGAGTGTGGATAATATGTTGATATTTTTGTACGAGTGCGCAGCACGAGTGAAAAATATCAAAATATCAGCCACAGGAGTGAAATTTATTTGTTATTACTGAAGACAGCATTACATCTTCTACTTGTTACATTTTTAAAGCATAAAACATGAAAAATGTAATGCATTAAAAAAGGACGGGAATCAGTAGCGTAATAATTAGCGCCATATTCCAATGTCGCCTAACAACAAGGCTGTGCGCCATTTTTAAGGGATACTCAACGCAACGTTTTCTGCTTGTATCTGGTGTGATTGCTTATGCAAATGTTGTTAATTGTATATTAATGTAAATACTTAAGTGTTTGTACCAAACATTTACCATAACAACCACTTATTCTACCGTCGCTTCATTTGAATCTGAACAAAATAATCGTTGCCGTTGAATGCAGCGAATAGAAGATACCGTTATGATTGGTCAATACCAAAAAGTGATATTTTCATGTGTGAAATATCACTTTTGATATTTGTCACAGTGTGAAAGATATCAGTTTTATCAAGTTGATATAATCCGATATTTCACTGGCAAAAATGTAATAAATGAACATACCTAACATATTTTTATGCATTTATCTGTGTCCGTTACTGTTCGGTGACCAAAATAGGTGTTCAACGTACAGGCAACATATCTCCTCGCTTCGAAAATCAGTGCTTTGAATAAATCATAACCACCATAGTACATTTTATATCTGAGGAAGCCACACAGGGACAAATGGCGTAGATCAGGGGTTTGTCTCCGGGCGCTCCGGGTTTCCACCACCAACAAACGTTGGGACGTTCTTAAATGACCATAGTTGTCCATAAAACGTAAAACACAAATAAACCAAACCAAAACAAACCAGACCAGAGGTAACACAAACAAAGTAAGTACTCTCTGTTGCAAGTTACTAAAATCATCAATATTAGTTTGAACTCTACACAGTCACGGAAGCAATATAGATGTTGTCGTGTCGATGTGGAAACATTCAGCTCTATTTTTATAGATTACATAAGCTTCATCTCTTATCTGTCCCATCTGCTAAAGTTTGCTTAACATGAACCTACTTGTTATATGGTCCAATGTGATTCTACCATGTTTCTACCTGAACTTTGTATAGAATGTCATATTGATTTAATGGTATTTCTGTATCAAAAGTCGTTGACTTTTATTATGTCAATTTTATTATTATATTAGTTCGATAAAATAACGAAATCTCACCACAAAAATATATCCCGTATAGTTTCATTACTGTGACACACCACAGAGCAGATCAGTTAAAGAAAAATAAATCCTGGGGATGTCTTCTGTTGTCCCAATATCATGACAGGGTTATGTCCCTTTTCACATGAACGGACAGCTTCCACTGGAGTTTTGGGACTATATTTATGGAAACTTCGTACAAGCAGGTCTGAACTATCAGTTACAATTCTAAGAAATGTCCCTGCTAATATATCTTCATATATTTTATATGCACTGTTGGTATCCATGAACCTGCGTCAACATATAGGTCAAATAGCGCGGAAATTTGTTCGCATTTGGATGCTAGTTCTAGTTTGCAATACCAATCACTACGAAATATACTTTCTTATAAAAATGAAGGTCGATGATAACTAATGAAGCAATAAAAAGTGTATAGTTTAACAAAGTCTGCTGCTTCAGAATGCTGATAAAAACAAGAGTGATCTCCCTTAAATGTGACTCTTCACACCCGAAAAGTTCACAAGGTTCGAGTCCTCTTTTGCTACTTCGTTACTTCCAGCCGAAGAGAGCGATAATTCCGAGTCTGGTCGCTTCCTCCATGCTGACGTAATGTCTTCAAATGTTCTATTTTTAGTTTCCGGTAAATATATGAACAACACTATTCCGCACAATGCTATGCATACCGTAAAAGGTAAGAATGAGTAATTCCCAAGTCCTTCCTGAAATAAAAAATAGGATCAGACAGTATATGAATGGGCAGGCTACGTTTTCCGGACTGATATTTCTGTCTATCTGGGTGCTTATACGTTTCGCCTCATACCATGGATTTGAGATGGGTTCGAACTTATTTTACGTATTGAAACAGCTTTATAAATAATTTAATCCTATCTTCACATGTTTTTTTGTTTTTGTTTTTTTTTCAAATTATGGATGAAAAACATAACAATAATACAAAGCCAGCAGTATTTGTTACAAACAAACTGTGGTTTATCCATATGCTATTTATAGGCTAAACATTTCTACACGTACGCTTAAGCATGGAATTGTTTCATGGTTTCAATCATTATCATATTGGGAAATATTTCTGTAAGTGATATCGAAGGTCGATGTTTTTTATAATGCTCACCAGAGTGCCTTTTTTGGTCACTACCCTAATTATCGCTATAAAAGGTGACCTTTCTTGGATTTGGCTTGACTACGGTGTAACCGATGAAGAAAACGATATTAACTCTTGCGAAAATTATTTTCTTATTCTTTATTGTACTTGCCTGAATAATTTAGCGAACACTAATATCAATCCATTACCACAGTGGTTATTTCAAAATATTTCACGCTGTTTACCCATTACCTGATAAATGTATATAATTATTTTCAGAACATACCTGCATGCTGGGGAAGGCGTACCCCACACCGAAGTTAGCGACCCAGTTGACGAGGACTGACAGACTCATAGCAGCCGGTCGAGGACCCTGAGAAAACAGCTCCGCCACGATCAGCCATGGTATTGAGCCTATAATACATGAGTTAGTTAAAAACAAAATCCATGGCAGGGAGTTTGAAAAACATAAAAATGCTTTATATAACCCATTGTATGCTAAAAGAAGAAGTTTTATACTGTAATAGTAGAAATTCTCTCGTATGGAAATATTGTAACTCTTTAAGCTGATCATGGTGCTGCAATATTCGAGTTGGCAATGATTCCGAAACCTTTAATTATCTAAATAAGCTTTGAATCAAATTTCGCATATTTTGACCTACGAGCAATATCAGTTTTTACAATGTGAAATTTAAGTAACCAGTCGAAATGTGGCTACTATTGTTTTGGAATATTCAAAATTTGTTCATTTGCCGACACGCTTAAAAAAATCATCCTTAGAGAATAATTAAGAATTACATTCCATAGCAAAATGATGATGTTAACTCTGGTTTTGGAATGCCACATTATACGAAATGTCGCAAACTGTTTGCAAATAATCATTCCTACCATGTTTGGATAAAGAACTGTTAACTAATCGCCAAGTTATCTTGGCTAAGTTGTACGTCGTATATAACGAAGACAACAGTACCTGGCCCTATGGCGAAGAAGACGACGTATAAAAGGGAGACCACTACATTGGCTAGCCTGATCCACTCTGCCAGATGCTACAAAATTAAAACGAAAACTGTTCAATGTTTCTATTTTGTCTAAAATATATTTAAAGTGTTCTACATGAAAAATTGTATTTAGACTTTGAATGTTTACCGACAAATATGTGGCATGATGGTGTTTATGATTTCAATAACTAGTACATCAGGATACATTATATACAATTTTTTATTAGGTCACCTGAGATAAAGTCTCAAGTGACCTATTGCGATCGCCTTTTGTCCGGCGTCGTGCGTCGTCCGTCGTGCGTCCGTAGACAATTTACATTTTCGACTTCTTCTCCAAAACCCCTGAACCAATCTCATTGAAACTTTACAGAAACCTTTCATGGCCAAAGGTCAACCAAACTTGTGAAAAATATGATCCCCAGCCCCCAGGGGCCTGAGGGGCGGGGCCAAAAAGGATCAAATTGACCAAAATTTTTGGTAGAATCAAATACTCTTCATAGATGGAAGGGTCTAAAGGTGCCTTACCAAAATTCAGCTCACTGACAGAACCACTATTTGTACATAGTACATATACTACCCAGATCTTTCACACTACTTTTGCATTACATGTAGTTCAAGCTACCTTTGTTACAAAATTATTTCTTTATCATTTGGCAACATCGATAACATCAGTTTTTACATAAATCGGTTGACCGTTAAGGCCCATGGGCCTCTTGTTATAAATTTCAGAGTGATTATTTTTTCTCAGATCTACCTGTAACGATATTAACCAATCAAGGGTCTTGTGACATTCCCCTTGCAGAATACATAAACATGACTTACGGTGAGTGCAAGCGACACTGTGATCAGAATACTGAACACGAACATTCCACCTAATCCCAGTAGGTGGAGCGTGCGTCGCCCTACCCGGTCCATTAATGGTATCGTCACCATTGTCATGATAACCATAATGCCGCCAATACCACTTGTTGCGTGGGCAGCTGTTTCATCAGATAGTCCAACATTTTTGAATAAACTGGACGAATAATAGAATACCTGTAAAAACAGAAAAAAGACGAAATAACTTTACAACGGAACGAGCTCTGGGTTGCGGCAGAGACACATCAGATACTTCGGTTCTATATTTGTGAGTGTAATGCATTAGTTTCATATTGAGAGTATTCATTATATGATTAGCTGCTAATGAACCTGTTCCAATTACCTTATTTTGTTTTAGTGAAAGCGTTGGGTTTGTCGATAGAAATGATGTTTTAACTATTCAGATTTCGCGCTAGACAAATTACAACAGTGACCTTATTTACGATGTCAATAATTCTTCGTTTAATGCTCTGTTTAAATGATAATGTTGTGGACAATTTTAGTAAGCTCACCTTAACGCAAATACATCGCCAACGTTAGTGTAACAGCAAGACCTATATCAGCGCTTTCAACAAAAGAGCGATTTGCGTTGCATGACACTTGTTTTTGTAGGATCAGAAATGATTCCGTAGTTTACATTGATTTCTTGCTCAAATGTATGTCAGAGTATCATCTTTGTCAACGCGTTGTACATAACTTACTTATGACGTAGTGCACAACGTGCCCAAAACTACTTAATATGATGACGATGTATACCATTACATATGGCATAATGCACAACTTACCTGAAATTATTGTGTTGGCGTTATACACAACTTACATAAGTTGTTGTACTGCCCCACGTAACCGAAACTACTTACCGTGTTTTACGTTATAGACAACGTAAATATGACGTAGTACAAATCGTAATATGACGAAGTACTCAAAGTACCGCAGCAATACTGGACAGCTTTTTTTATGAGAGGTGCATGATAAAGCTGATATTGACGTTAAGACAACTTAAATATGACGTAGTACACATCTTAATATGACGTTGAGCTCAACTTACCGCGTTGATGCCAGATAACTGCTGTGAGAGGTGCATGATAAAACTGATGAGAAGTGGAGCCCACAGTGATCTTTTCTTTAAGAAGTGTATTAACGAGATCTGTTGAGAATAAATGATAAAACAATTTGTTTGATTGTATATAGCTCGATTACTACTAAAATATTTGTTTGAATAGCCTTGTTTTTCATTTCATTTGAATGTTAATCATATTTGCAGAATCATATTTAACTGAAGCCAAAAACAAATGTCTTCGTTTTGTAAGATTATTTCTTAATATTGTCACTGACGCTTAAAATAGAATGACAAAATACATATTGATTACGTCAAGTTTCAACTTTCGAAAAAATGAAATTTCTTGGGTCAAAAGTTAAATCAAGTGTCCCAAATAGAACAAAATGTTTCGAAAATAGTTAAAGTAAATGGACAGGGTCAAGATTTGTTTTTCCACATCGCGTCTCTATTAAATAGTAACGATATATCTGTTTAGTTTCGTATTTTCACCTACTTTGGCCTCGGACTGTTGCATAAGAAATTCCTTTTTCATCTCCTCTATATCGCCTTGTACCGCTGATGTTCCTCGTAACTTTACCAGAGCTACAATAAACATTGAAATATTATTTGTAGTTCTCTAAGCAAGATCGTTACACATGTTTACTTGTGGTTCTATGATGTTGGGTGCTGTGATAGTAGTGAGCACTGGGTCTGTAATCTGTAGTCTCGGGTACAATCCTAGTGGGACCTTTTTTAAGTTTGACATCCACAACAATGACTGCTTAGTCCTTAAAGTGTAGTTGAACTTCGGACGAGTCAAAGATAAGAAGGTAAGGATAGGACTTGATACGGTAAAAGAAGCAATTTTCGCATGTGGAAATGTTCGCACTTTGACTCTTTCAACTAATAGCGGTGTAGACATTTTGTGTTTGAAATGTTCCATGATAAGATATTCTACACGTATAAATCCATTTTTCGCGTGTGAATAATATCGCACTAATTTACTGAACGTGCCAAATACGAGCATTTCCAAAACAGGAAAAGTTGCACATTTCATCGTCGATCAAATAAATTTTATTGATCACCTGACTCGCTATGATTATTAGGAAGGTCAGTAACTGATGACACCGTTTTTAACAACATCCTTATTGCTAGGATTATTATCACGAGGTGGTCGGTGTTTAACCTTTTACCGCTTTGATTCTACCGTCCGAAACTATCATGGCCCCTGCCAAATGCAATACTTTCCCTTAACGACTTGCTTACGCTTCACATTTTTTCAATGTGAAAACGTCAAAACTTAATATCTAATAAAGCAATTCAGAATGTTTATACCTAAAAAAGAGTTACTGACCTCGACTTCTCAATATATCGTTTCATGCTCATATAACCGCTTATTGACCTCTACAAAAGTCAATAATTATTGATATACAGTATAACTTGTCTAAACCAGCCCATGTCTAATCCAGACCCCTGTCTAAACCGGGTATGGTTTGTTGGTCGCGGCATATGCGCTATATAATCATTGTAGTTATACCATGTATAAACCGGACCCTGTCCATTCCGAAAACCGGCGTTGTTTCACAAAAGTTGGCATATTAATCTATGTAAAAACAACCTGTTCATTCCGGTCCTGAAATTTCTCTCGGCCGGATACAAACACATTCTAAACAAATTAGCACTATCCAATGTCGGGTCGCCTTTCATTTATATTATATACTTTATATTTTGTATACAATTCAACGTTGCAACTGATTCATTTCTCTGTTGTTTATGTTGACACACTTGTATACAGATCGTATACAAAACACTTCATTTTTGTATTTTCAAAAAAATGAAATGCCGACCTTGTATAAACCGGATACCTGTGTAAACCGGTCAAATAGTTTGGTCCCTTTTACATCCGGTTTAGACAGGTTATACGGTACATAATAAATATTGCCACCCATCTAATTTGTAACACTCTTTCTGGTTGGATATCGTGCCGGGGTCTATATTTCTATATATTCTGCGAGGGGAGATAACTCAAACTAGAATATCTCTTCATAGCAACAAAGATGGCGTCCGACACACACAAAAGGTCGATATTTACAAATCATTTACAGGATTAAATATCCTACAGGCAAACTAAAACGACAGCAAACTCAACTAAACATACACTGATGGGGCCTCTAGGGTGCTTATTGCAAAGATGGTTGTGTTTTGTCCAAAATATTGCTGAATAGATGTCCGATAGGGGCTACTTTGGTAGCAGTCAAGTAGGTGACAGTGCCCGAATCGGATCAGTACCCAAATCGGATCACTTTTTGCAAAATTACTTATAAATCAATAAATGTGTCATCAAATCAGTTTTAACAATGATGTAGCCTTATAATAGTTAGCCATGCAGCATTTTTTTGTCTACAGATGGTAAGTTTTAAAGGTCAAATAGCACCAGAAAACGTAATTCAAACTCAAATGTCAGTATGTTTATTAAGTTTTTAAAAAATGGAGCGTGTGACGACTATGCATTCTGCTTTGAACTATAGGAATACATTCACACTTTAGGAATACTTTTTGTCATATACATTCTAAAGGTCATCATAAAATGTTAATATGTTGAAAAAAAAATCATCTGTATCGGTGTAAGATACTGCAAAATTAAAACCTTGACCCAATTTTGGTCCTGACGTTCGCAAAAAAATGGAAAAGGTGATTGGTGAGTTCAGAGCGTTCTATAAATATCTTAAGTGAACCCTGGGGTACAGAGATAACTAATACTATTCTTGTAACGATTAACGTCTTCGAACGTGACTCAATCCTTCTTAGAGGACGTTGCAGGCGAATTTTTCCACAAATGACGAAAACGATTGACTAAGGTGAACATACCTTTGAGAGCGTGTTCTTCCTGCTCCTTAGAGATGAGGAGGTAGCGAGGACTCTCGGGACAGAATGGCATCGTCAGTAATTGTAAGGCACACGGAACCGCACACAGACCTGTGATGTACGTGTACAACATATCAGTCAATACGTGAGTATCACCCCTGATTGGTTAAAATATTCTATTATTCATACAAACATAAAATAATATCAATTCTGAATGCTTTGCTTGTTTTCGGGGAAGAAACATTTCTTATTATCATTTGTGTATGAAATGACACTAAATTATGCTTAAATAAAGGAAGCTCTTAATCTTTATGAAAAGTTCCTAATATTTGTCTGTATGCCATTAATTCCTATTTGTCTGCGGTTGTGATATTCAGGGTCGCGTCGTAGTTCAAAAGGGTTGTGTTTTCGTCGTTAAAATTATCTGAAGAAAATGTCCTTTTTGTCGTGTTATATTGGGGTTGTTTTGTTAATGACGATTACAAGTTATACGACTACATTGCAGATATTTAAAGCTAAATTCAAGCAAATTTTGAAAACTGCTTGAGAACAAGAAAAATCTTGATTTTTAGATACCTTCGCAAGCCATTATATGATATATTGTGGCATATCTAAAACATGGCCTACCCGCAATCTGAAGATTATTTTACAAGCGTCCCGTTGGTCTAGTGGCAGTTTTATATATATTTATCTAAACTCTGATGTCTCAAATATTTAATAAGTCTCCAACTGCCGAAGACTTCGACTTTTCGAGTTAAGACTGAAATGGAGGTCAGAGGTCAAATGTGATATATATATATATAAGTGTTACCCAGAAGTATATGCCAGTTGGGGTCGTTTCCAAGAAGCTCGGGAAATCCCAGGATCTGTGAGAGGAGGATCCCGATCGTGACGCCGAGTTGATGGAGGACACCTAGCGCTCCCCGGATGTTGGCGGTGGAAATCTCCGATAGATATAAGGGAGTTAACCCGGTATAAAGCCCTGTAGAGAAAGTATCCGTTATAGTTGTGATAAAGTTGTAAAAAATACTGCAGCTTTTTGAGACAAAGGTAGTTGAACTCCGAAATCTTAGAAAGGATGTATACAAGGATGTTTACGGAATGAATATGCTGGCTCCAATGTTATATTTAACTCAAATTAATAGAGTGAAGGAAAACTTCACGAACTTATTCCGTCGTTGCGTATTGCAGAGTTATCTTCCCTTGTAAGCAGGTATTGATTGCTACGTCATTGGTTTGTGTGAGAAAATTACGTCGTTTTCTTAAAAAATTATGACGTTACTCTCACAAACAAATGACGAAACAATCAATACCTGCTCACAAGAGAAGATAACTCTGGAATACGAAAAGACGGAATATGTCAATTGCAGTGTTTTTTTTGCATTACAATCGCAATTTGAATGAGTGTGGTTTGGGCACGATATCACAACAGAAATACTCTGGTTAAAATGTGTGCACATGGAAAATGTGAAGGCCCTGCGTCTTTGTGATATTAACGTGATATTTACCACAGTTGAATCCCACAAGGAACCTTCCTACAATCACCATCTCGTAGGACCAGGCCATCCGACTGAAAAACATCAGGGCGGCCGCTCCTATTCCAAACGCGTTGTTGATCAGCATTCCGTGCTTCCTGTTAAATACAGCATGATGTCATATTGATGTAACCAATGGGATTTCATGAAAACCAAATGTATTACAAATAATTATCTCTAATTTTATTGTCTAGTTACTACCGCGCTTACCACAATTGCCAAGCAAAGAGTCACCAAAAAACGTTCGTCAATATGTCTAGGTTAAACAATTAGAATTATCCTAGCTGTGTCCACTTAATGCAGAGGAGATGCACTATTACACAAAGCATTGGTTGCATGAAACCTATCTTATAAACAGTTGATATATAAAAAAAATGAACATGGTTGAGAACCTGAACTTTCTCATTTGGGCTCCTCGAGTTAAACAAGTTATCCTGTAGGCGTCACTGCTGAAGTCCAGCACAGTTATAAACCACACACTGACTCGGTATCAGTTTGTTTAGATGTGAAAGAATCAAACACATTGAGTTCGAAATGTCAAAATTATCCTGCCTAACTAAAAACAAAAATTAAAATGATGTCGCGACCCTTATAGATTTAGGCTCTCAATCACGATAAAAGGGTGATAGTTTTAACGGAATTCCTAAAATATCTATTTAATATACCTGCCGAAGTAGTCTGCCCACCATCCGGCAAGCAAGCCGCCAACCATACCGCCTACAGCAAATATAGCCACCAGGAGGGCGTATGTATTTAGTATGGACCCTGATGTGAGGGACTCGCCCGTCCGTCGGATGTTGGTCTGGTTCATAAACTCCTTAATTCTCTGGAAAAAACCCATTAAAAGTTTTATTAAAGATCCCTGTCCCACTGCACTTTGGTTTCTCGTATAAAGAGTAACCTCCCCTTAACTTCCTTAAGTATCACTGTCCCACTGCACTGTGGCTTCTCCTATACAAAGAAACCTCCCCTTAACTTCCGTTTGGATATAACTGTTGCAGAGTTGGACCAAGCCTTTTCCATTGACTAGGTAGTACGATTGCTTACAGAAATGAAGTCCTGGTCTGTGCCTGTCAATCTATTTTACACTCAAAACACTGCTGTTGATTATATTTTATTTATTTTATCTTACCATTTGTCATATAAAGTATGTTTGTCTTTTCAGAAATGATTGATCAAAGCTATCCCGTCTTTGCGTATTGCAGAGTTATCTGCTCTTGTGAGCAGGTACTAATTGTTACGTCATTTGTTTGGGAGAGTAAAGTCATCTATTTTTGAGAAAACGACGTAATTTTCTCACACAAACCAATGACGTAACAATGTTGGAATGAACACGTCGTAACAGTTTTTGGCAGTGGTACGGGGATCCTTAAACCGTTAAAATGTATCACAATTAAGTGAACTCCCCGGGAAAATTATCATGATCAACTACAGTATTCTGTCAGTTATAGTGCAATACATAATCTTAACTTTCCTCCCTGCATCAAATAGGTTACTACCGCTTTTCAATGGTTAATTCAAACACACATTCACCTCTTCCGAAGCCTATAAGTGTATAGTAGATTATAGGTAAGTTAATGTACATGTATGTAATACGTACACCCTCTGGTGCGTTGATGACGCCGGTATTGTAACCAAACTGAAGCGATCCCATCACCGCTGCAAACACCGACAGTACGAGACGCCCAGTAATCCTCTGTAATAAAAATAAATAAATAAATAAAATGTTCCTATATCACAAGCAATGGAAGAATGATATCTTATAACATCTCACTCAGGTTCCATTTTTTATTGGAACAGAGATATCACATGAACGTGAGAGAATCTGTATGGCTCACGATACCGTTTTGTTGCAAATGATGGTACTGTATAAAAAATAGCTTTCATATTTCCCTGTCTACAACGTAAACACAAGGCGGTGAATGATTCTTTTTCTCCTACCCTGTTCTCCCATTGTGTATCATATACACAATGTAATGATAACGTTACATGCTTAATTAAGGGTTGACGTGACGTTGATGGATTGTTGACGTGACGTCTTTGTATTGTTGAAGTGACGTCATAGCATTGTTATGAATTGAGGAATCCCCCGTCTCAACCCTAGGGTGAGAATAATATAATCGTTCACTCCCTTGAGGGTGAGATAGGGGATCTTTATCCGAGGGGAAGATTATTAAGCTTCCAAACACGAGGCTTTTACATAGTGTCGGGTACTACACAGGCGTATCATTCTCTGCATGTCTTTTGATTTAGTACGCCCTCTCGGTAATCGAGCAGACGACAGACGGAGCTGAAGAAAAATGTATGGATAAAACGTTTAAAAGGGTGAAAAGCAAATAAACAACTGGAGTTTTCCAGATTGTAGTATGTTGCTCTAAGCGGTAGTTGTAATGTATCATGATATCCGGATCCGGTAGGTAGTGACACACGAGGAAGGGGTTGCTATTATTTAAAATATAGTGATTTCAAATTTTAAATGTGAGTAGTTCATGTAGCTCTTAATTACGAGATTCTTCCCCCAAATAATCCTAAGCACACATCCACATCAGTTCTTGAACAGGCGAAACGCCATATCGTAAAATAAAACGTTGGAGGACTATTTGTTTCCTATTTCTAACCACTGGGTCACTTTTTGAATGAATTTTCTTTACGAAGGAATTGTTTTGCGTTGCAAGTAGGACTCGCCTGACATGAGACTCCTTGTAGTCCTGTCTAAGAGATTGATTATTTACATTTGCAGGCGTTCATTGTTCATTGACCAATGTGGTTCGTGTGTCCTACATATATTACAATCGGATGAGAGGTTATTGCGAGAATACAACCGTCCGTTTTCTTGAAACACTTTCGCGCCTTACTGCTGGTGACTCGCTGCTATACCAACGGATATAAACATGGTTGTTAATTTCCCGTTCCGGGGGACACTAAAACCAAAATCAGTATGTATTCTACTGATAAAACTGCTTAAAACACTCTGATAGGCAGATGACTATTCTTTATTGTCAACGTGCAAATATGGGAACAATCAATTTTCTGATTGACGTGGGATGTCTAGGTGGTATTAAATTAGGTTTAGAAACATCCAAATGACTTTGAAATAAATCGTTATTCATTAAAGGGACGCACGCAGTTTTCCCGCAAGTCAACTGATGAGACTTACCCCTCTCGCTGGTTGAGCGCTGTCCTGGTTGAGATTCTGATCGCCATTTTCCTTAGAGATTCCGATATTAGTTTCCTGGTACCTAGCTTCACGTTCCATTGTTTTACACTTAGTGTAGTGATATGCCGATATCGAGATACTACTGTAAAGAAAAACAAGTAGATATGTACTGTTGTATAATTTTGTTATTGATTATATAAGCAATTAACTGCGTATATTTTGCAGACCTAATGGTCTAACTGTAACACATGTTGCAGATAAAGTGAATGGTTCTCTACAGCTTTCGTAACAGCTGTGCCCAGGCTATGCATTTATACACTGAAAATAGCACTTTAAAACAATGATAGTAATGATTCGAGGTTTTTATATACCGCTTTATCCCAACCTAGTTCGTATGTCGTCTCAAAGCGGTTCACGAATATTTTATCCGTGGTTATAGGTCCTTTGCAACCAGCCAATATCTTTCTCAACTCACTGGGGAACATACAGCCGATGCTGCAATTTCGGCGCTCACAGCTAACATTCAACCAGTCTAGCACTGCCCAACCACGTACTCATTAACAGCTGAATAGACTGGTACAAACGTAAAGTTCAAATATACAACACCAGTTGTGCTTAAACTATTATACATGAAGGTAATGCCAATTAAAAAAAAATATAATCATGACTGTTCAACGGATAATATCGACATTTAATCTCAATTCTGCTCCTTCCCTGTCTAAACTTACGTCCGTTAATACTTTTGTCTTTCCTGATATCCCTTAGTCTACATTTCTGCAATTTGTTTTAGATTAAAAACGATACATTTAAAACACATAGTCACTGAAATAGAAATATGCAATGGTTATAAAGGTATAACAAACCGGAGCTTTAGCAAATCGTCAAAAGAAAAGTACTGCATTTGGCAGAAAGCATTAAAATGTTACCATTGAAGTGACGTCATCAATAAAATAATGACTTGATGTTTTATAACATAGTAACTCTGAGTCAATGTCACAAGTCACCGACCTCGGCGTGTTCCTTAAAGAATACATCAGAAAAAATTGTCAGCATGAACACATATACTTTATCTTACGTTAAAAACACCGGAGAATTGGTACCGACCTCGGCGTGTTCTTTAAAGAATATGAAAGAAAAAAACGACAGCATAAACACATATACTATATGTTTATATTACAAACAACGGATATATGGTACATTAAACATCTCATCTATGTTACATTGTTTCTGATTCGTTCAGAGACATCACAAGACCGTGAGAAAATTCATTGTGTCTCACCATACTGCGTTTTGGAACACAGTGCGTGTCCCGAAGTTGAACCTCCCTTAAATTGTATCGAATGTTATCGCCATTTGCAACGAACAACACCAATGACAGACGAACGTCCATCAAAATGTTAAAATTAATTTTGCTGGTGTTGATATTAATTTCTTTTTGCGTAATTTGTAAATACCGTGGCAGTTTGACTGCGTTTGATGTTTCTATCGTTGTAATACACAGATTATGGCCCATGAGGTTGGTGATAGGGTGATGTGGAGATTTGTTTACCTGAAGAAGTCAGGATACGTCTTGGTTTGATATTAACATACTATTTATGTTAAATAGTGGAATATATCGGGAACAAGGTATGAAAATGTGTTAGCACCGTCCTTGTAGAATGTAATTTGTTAAGAACTTTCATGTCAAGGGTATAGACGTATAGTGTTAATAACTATTTTGCATGAATAATGAAGAAATAACAAATGTCGAAGTACACAATCACCTAGGAGTATTTTTTTCGAATGACGGGAGTTGGGTCAAACATGTAAACTACATAATTAATAAAGCATCAGACAGATTAAATATTTTACGTTCTCTAACTCGACCGAAACACATTACAGACTATTTACTTTTCATTTATCAGACCTATGATTGAATATGCTGACTTAGCGTTGGATAATATTACCGATGACTATAGTGCTAAACTGGAACAAATTAATACTAAGGCAGCTAGGATTGTATCTGGTGCAACCAAACTGACAAGCTTAGATAAACTGTATATAGAAGTAGGCTGAAACAAACTAATTGAACGTAGACATCAACACAAACTAATTATTTTTCACAAAATGTTCTACCAAAATACCCCCCAATACCTCAACCGACTTGTGACACAATCAGTCACTGAAATACGTAGCCATAATACTAGACATTCGGATGTTACAACTATCGCTCCCATTCATTGCCATTCTAATGCGTATCAAAGATCTTTCTTGCCCTCTGTTATCAATAGCTGGAACTCAATTCCAGTTAACGTCAGGAGAAACCCTTCCATTTATCAATTTAAATCACATATTACACGCAACAACAAAAAACCTCCGCCAAAACACTACTCATATGACTTACGTTTAGGACAAATATACCATTCTAGACTACGCATGTCATGCAGCTCTCTTAATGAACATTTATTTAGGAAAAACATTGTTATATCCCCTCTTTGCGCATGCGGTACCATCGAAAACACTTCTCATTACCTGCTAGATTGTACCTTATACACTGCCATCAGACAACTACACATTGAAACCCTTCAGTATCAAATAACTGTCAAATTATTAGTACATGGCGATGAATTGTTATCTTTAGAAGAAAACAAAATAATTGTCCTCGCTGTTCAGGATTACATCCTTAAGTCTAAGTGATTTCAACAACAATAGGGTGATATTTTATTATGATGTTACTGTTATTAATGTAAACATGTTGTTTAAAAAAAATGGATTATGAGTAGCTCACATATGCACGTGTGCATGTACGCATGCATCTATGCGTGTATGCATACATGTGTGCGCGTGTGTGTGTAGGAGTGCATACATTACGTACGTATGCAGCCATGCACATTCATGTGCGCAAGTAAATATAATTTATGTATGTATGTAGGTGGGTAGGTATGTACTTACGTACGTGTGCGTGTATGTATGTATGTATGTATGTATGCATGATAGATATATGTGTTCATGATATGTGTGGGTATGCATACATGGAAGTTTGTGTGCGAGCATATATAAGATGAAATAGCTGAGTTGCTAACATGATAATATATCAATTGACTTTTTTATCTTATGACGTCTTTGAATAAGATTCTTAATCAATGACCCTTGTATACATATGATAACATATATCATATGTAAAGTAAGTAATGTAGATGGTCTTTCCCGATGCAAACAGTCTAGTGGAAACGGATATACCAGGAGGACAAGACAGAACAGGAGAATTACGTATTAAGGCACGGGATGTGACGAACAATTGATCAGCAATAGTGTATGGAATGTGAACAGTCTATCACAACGACTGTCTGCGTAGGGAAAAAACCATCCACATGATTATGATTTTCATAGAGTATATTGTATGTTAGCATTATAGTGCAGCTTGTTTGTTTAAACTTACTTATATGCATATATATACCTTCCTTGAGACAGTATGAAAATCAACCAAAAAGTGTATTAACGATGACGCAACAGAAAGATTTTTCTTGACCACAATACACTGATTTTATAAATGTAACGTATTTTGTACATGTACCATATTTTTACACTGCATTTCCCAACTCTCTTCTAACTTCCCCTGTAATTTATTCACGTCACTATCCCTAAGCTAATAAGCATGATACCCCACCCGATCACATTATACTGACAACGGTTCCCACTAAATGTAGATCAAGTGGGGTCATCGAGTGCATCTTGTGATAACCAGCATCCGTGAGTTATTTGTGAATCTAGGTAGGGGTGAGATAATGGCAAGATAATGCATGGACTAGGGCAGGTCGGATGTACTTATCTATAAATAAACACATTATGCTTAAGACTTTTGTTTACCTCATTGTTTACTTTGATATTGACCAGTGTAACTGTGACCTGACCTTATAAAAGGGTTACAAACTGTGACATCTTAAATAATGACCACAATGTTTAAAGACCAGCCACCTTCTATAATGATATAAGCATGCTCAACCGGAGTTACCACCTAAATATCTGACCAAAATAGAAACATATTCCCCAATATTTACAGCATTTTTCTGTGGATGGATGATAACTTTTTTTTAATCCATTAGTCTGACTGGAAAAAACAAAATTCATGTTTAGCTCGATTGTTCGAAGAACAGAGAGCTATATCGATACCCCCGGCGTGAGCGTGAAAACGTTAAAGTTTTACCTTTTATTCAGAAGCTTGTCATTTAATAAATATGTGTACTAGGATGCTGATATTCGGCATGGAGGTTCCTATGGGTTATACTATTGATGAAGTGAAGTGAAAATTAAAAAATAATTTTGAAATTGTTTGACCTGTTTTGTACTTAAAGGGGCTGATCGGGGAAAACATTACAAAATAAATGGGTCTAAATGCGTTCTCTGGCCTTCCAAAAGTTATACCACGACAATATGATGGTCGAGTTCTGCTTGCAATGTCCAGTTTTGACCACTGAAATTTCGGGGAAGCCTCGCGTAAATTTAGCGCAGATCTATTTATATATGTCACTATTTATATATAGGTCATGTATGATGAAAGTGTAGTATTCCTACCTATATGTTGTTGTTATATGTAACGGTATTGATACCTCGTGCCTGTCATGACTTTGTCATGCATCTTTTTCTTTCGCCGCGATGTTTACATTTGGCCTTGTTGATGACGCGCGTGCGGTAAAATTACATCACTGATCTGGGTCAATTGAGAGTTTTAGACTGTCAGGTGACGATTTAGGATTTCTTTAATATAATTATAATTTTCACTCCCCATGGAGTGAATTTCATCAAAATTTGTATCGGTATATTTCATAAAAAGGTATTTTAAACATGTGTATGCCATTTTAGCAAATATGACATGTTTTCCCCGACCAGCCCCTTTAACTGTTTTGAAGCACTTCAACGTTTCAATTGTAACTGCAAGTTATTTAGAAGCTTGTCATTCAGTAAATACGTGCAATATGATGTTGATATTTTGCATAGAGGTTCCTGTGGGGTAAAATATTGATGAAGTGAAATTAAAAAAAATAAAAAAAAAATAAAATGTTTTAGACTTTTGACCTGTCTTGAACTTAACATTTTTGTAGCACATCAACGTTAAAGTAATTTAGAAGATTGCCATTCCTTCAATATTCGTACAAGGATGCTGAT